AGCAGGAATAATTGCAAGAACTGCCCATTTTGTGATGCAATAATTGAGTTGATGAAGGTATAAAATAAAGCCAAACAATTCATTCTGAAAATAGTATTACAATTCCACAATCAGCTTACTATGGCATAAATTGGTGCTACTGCCAGATGGGGCAATGCTACTTTCTCTCCATCTCTATCTGCTCATTTCCAATTCTTCCCTTATGCCGATACAAAACTGAAAACTAACAGTAGTGACAGGTTAGTTTTTAACAGATCCAGCTCTGATTTATCTCCATGTACTAAATCCCCTTTCCCACAACCAAGGTATATGCCAGATTACATTGACAGTGGAAGCACTGTTTAAGAGAAATTATTCTATTTGAAACTGCATGCTACGCAATACACAAATTCCCTGTTCTATTTCACGTACACACTTTTAAAAGGTAATCACAAATCACAATGAGAATTCCTCACAGAACAAAAGGAAAAAGCAATTTAATCTTAATCTCTAACCCAGCTGTGAGAAAAAAAAAAAACAAACCAACAAAAACTATTTTGCAAGCCAGACTTTCTTCCCAAGTCTGTTTATAACACTAATATAATCACAGACTACAAAACAAATATATTTTTTGAAATACAGAAAAAAAATGAGACTTCCACAACAATCTTTATGTTAGAAAGATATCCTTTGGCCTACCATATTTGGAAACCTTACATTTATAATCAGAACAAATGTCTTCTTTCATAAAATTCTGCCTTCTCTTGCTTATAACTTTGCCAGTCTTTAACCTCCTGGGATGAAATTTGCATGTCAGACATGCAAACCTCATTTGTTTTGAAAATTCAAGCAAATGTTTCAACTATTTTCAGGAATAGACCTAATGAAGTGTTTTTTTCAAAGTTAGGAGGACTGACTTTTTACTTCAGAGAGCTGCAGTATCCCTTTCCCTGCCACCTTCTGGAAGCCGAGATACTGTTTGGTATCATGGATATTGTTGTATTACATAATATCCAATGCTGTCTTCATGAAAAACTGCCTGCATTTGCCCAAGAAATAATTTGGAAAACTTCAATTTGCACATTCACAATAGATACCTGTGTGTATGCGTAATACTGTATCTAGATTGTACTCCTACTAGAACTGTAAAATCTGTACACCCAGAATTATATGCAAAATTACAACAAGATACTATGTTAGAAACTGGTAAATTTAAACTCAAGTGAAAACCTGTACTGTTATTCAAAGATTTTCTAAAGCATTTTCCTTCTCCTTGACTTCATCTCATAAGGCTAAGCAGTCACTTGCACAAGCCACTTCCACCCAAAACACCTGGCCTAGCTAGGTAGCGAAGCAAAAACTAAAATTTAAGAAATTCTGTGTAATTATAAAGTTCTTTTATATTAGCAGCTCTTCAAAGTGAGAAGAAATACACCTTCTTAGGAATCAATGACCAAAATTCACTTACATGTCTGCCTACATTTTATGAGAGTCTACAATGTACAAATGAAAACTCAAAATGTATTTGCCTGTGTCAAGCAGAAAGCAGTATACGGAGGTAAAAGCACATTGTGAATATTTGCCTGAAGGGTGGATAGAAGATAGAATAGACAAGAAGTTTTGCTTCCCTAACATTGTACAGCCTAAAGAAAATATAGAATATATACACTGTCTTCAGGCGGAGACACTACAGTCTGTTTTTCCTCTTACTTACTAACATCCAAATACGTTTTTAGTTTATGTGCAGTATCACTGCTGACTTGCAAGAAATAGCTTTTTAGGCAGTATTAGCATTAAAAGGCAGCACTGCACAAAAAAGCCAAGAGAAATCGTATCTGCACAATTAAGTAGACTGAAACTCATGTTAAGCACTAAAAACATTTTTGCAAAATGTTGCACAATGCCATAGGAAGTTTCACTAATGACTACGGTTTAAAAATCTTACTCTGCAAAGATTATCTTTAAAAATTCCAGTGTACAGTATTACTAACATACACTGAGCTAAAGTTGATCAAAATCAGCCAGCAATGACTGATCTCTATTTGGTATGTCTTGTTTGTCTGATAAACTTGCAAAACTGGGTGATGCATAATAGGGAATACACAATTATTAGTGCAAATTAACAAAGTCTTAGCGTATTCATTGCAGCAATCACAGGTGGGAAATCAAACAAATTCAAACTGTCTATTTCTGGCAGACAATGCTGAGAATAAGGTAGACAATACCGCATATTCAGTGCAAGGAAAAAACAAGGGAAAGACAAACATCACTAAGTATCATCTTAGAAAGTTTTAAAATAAAGACTGTCTTCCTTAATAATTCTCTCATAACAAATATGAAAGAAATGAGCATTGCAAATGCAGATCATAGCCACCACTAGCAGCAAGAGGAACATTTATCACCCAAGAGGGCCTAACAGAAACCAACTGAAGCTAAACTGCTCGTATTAACTGCAACAATCTAGCAAAAGCAAAACTGCAATGGTAAGCAAGTCACCAGGGCAGTACAGAGACGCTGCTGTATGGTCTGTGGGTTGTGCAGAAGTCAAGGTGCAGCTTTCCCATCCTCGTTACATGGCAGCCTCTGCCAGGGCACAAAATCCCTTGCAAATACCTTCAGCCTCAATCGAGGCCAGGAAGCAAGCTGTGGAGACCCCATCCTCACGCAAGGGTCTCTGGAATCCCAGGGTCCCCTTTTAACAAAGTATTGACCTAGTACAGTAGTATCAGTGTACTTTGCATCCAGCTATTTGCAGCATTCAAATAATGACTCATCTTTACAACATAGACTGCTCTCACCAAAATCAAGTGACTTGAATACCGAGTTGCTCTGAAATGGAAAGAGGAAAGCAGAACCAGAGCTGGTAAAGATAAGAAGGGAAAAAGTATCCCCATGACTTATGATGAAAGATTATTCCAGAAATGACTCTGCGCTGTGAGGAACAGAGAGCTGGATTTAATGTTCTAGAAAGCCCTGAAGATAATCTATTCAGAGGGATAAAACATGTTACTTAGTAAACAATAAATTCTGCAAATGCCATCTTAAAACTGTTCTTTCTGCCCAACCATTAAAACATATCATTACTGGAAGGCTTTTACAAAAGCTA